CAAGGTTCATATCAGTAAGGTTCGAGCTCTGCAGTAATAACCAGGTGGTGGCATTGTCAATGGCTCGGCGATTCTTCTGTAGCTTGTTTCGATAGTGGTTCGAGGGGCCTGCGCGGTGCCTTCTTCTGAGGGCAACTCCTCCGGCCTTGACCGCCTCCTTCCTCCCATTCGATACCGTCCGGTAAATCCTCCGGCCTTGACCGCCTCCTTCCTCCCATTCGATACCGTCCGGTAAATCCTCCGGCCTTGACCGCCTCCTTCCTCCCATTCGATACCGTCCGGTAAATCCTCCGGCCTTGACCGCCTCCTTCCTCCCATTCGATACCGTCCGGTAAACACAAGTTTAAAGCCGATATTCATGACGACGATTGGCCTGTCAACGACCACTCTCAGGACCAAAAAGTCGGAGGAAATGGGCCGGGCGGACTAAATGAGCCAAGCAAAATGGATTAAGGAGCCCGGGACGTGGGGGATTATAAAAAGTCGGATGGGAAACGCAAATAGCAGCGTCGTCACGTCGTCAAATCAGCAGAGGAATGATATCCTGATTGCGATGACTGCCATTGCGGGTGCCACGTTGTTGTTGCTCGGCTGCTTCGTGGCCGGTGCAGCGATCGTCCATAGTCGGACGCGTCGTCTGCGCGAAGAGCAAGAACACAAGACCAAGATGGCTCTCGCGAAACTCAGCAGACCACGACCCATGATCGCTCCCGCAGACCATCTCGTCCTCTCCCCAGACGCCACAGCCGTTCCAATAAACTACACCGACTGACCGACCGCGTGACAGGACCGCGAAACCAAAGAAGACCCCGGACGAGACAGCCGCAATATTTAGCGCTGCGTCCTTGTAAGTCATGCAGTGGCCGTTCTCAGCCAGTCAGTCAGCGTAATCGGCGGAGACTTGTCTCTGGATGGTGGTTTGCACGAGAACAAGTATCAATAACAAGCTGCGTCTGATAGACCCACATGGCAGTAGAGCCCTCCCATTTGAAGGAGATAAGCGCCGTGGTAAGGTGGGTGCTTTTTCTGATAAAACCGAGCCGACAGATTGGCTTTAAATTCCAAGGTGTGTTCATGGAGCGGACAGTCGGCTCGCTCTTAAGTTTGCCCGCTGCGTGTGGTCCGCAACCGGGTGCTCGGCGGCCGTCGCAGCCTGCGCCTTTCGGGCGCACGAGTGTGTCTAGCAACACGAGTTTGTTCGAGCGTGCGAACGCGGCGCCTCGTCGGGGCGCGCATACGGGTTGGCTAGCAGGTGTCGAGACGCTGCCGGCCTCAACCTGGGCGGAACCCAAGTGGGCGGAGAGGTGGCAAGTGCGCGAGACAGTCACCAGTCCGGGGGCCAAACTACACGACGGCCTCCGAGTCGTTACCCGCACCGGCTCTCTCACTAACTGTCTGACCAATGGTCTGACCAATAACTGCGGGCTAGCTACGGGAGGCCTAACTACCGGCGGCCTAGCGGCCAACAGCCTAGCTACGGGTGCCCTCATCCACCCACCGGGCCACGGTTCCGGTCCCGGTCCGGGCGGCTCCAGCCCCAGTTCCCCGCCCGGTCCACGAAAGTCGGTAACCACGGTTACTTCGACCACGCTCACTGCCATGGGCGGCGGTCTCGCGGGGTCTGGAGTCGGAGTCGGCTCTGGAACCGCGGCAGTCGGGTCTGGGGTCGGCGGCCGGGCCGTCATTTCCGGGCCGCTCAGACTTGACCGCATGGACGGCTACAGCCTGCCTAGCGCCCCGTCCGGGGCCCCGCCTGGTCTGCTATCGCACACCAGTGTCCAGACCCGGAACGGAGGACAGCCATTGGCCGTGCAAGCTCTGGGCGCACAACCGCTCGGTATCCAAACTGCGCCTGCAGGCGAAACGGCGACTAAGACGGACGAGATCCGCAGAGAAGAACGGCGCATGGAAGGACGGCGCCCCTCCTCAATTAGCAGCGACCAGGCGCGGATGCTCGAGACATCCTACCTCGAGACCGCGTCCCCAACTGCACAGGTCAGTCGCCACTCCTCCACGGGCCATGTGCCGTCCACGAGTCATGCGCCGTCTACGGGTCATTTGCCGTCCACGAGTCATGCGCCGTCTACGGGTCATGTGCCGTCCACGAGTCATGCGCCGTCTACGGGTCATGTGCCGTCCACGAGTCATGCGCCGTCTACTGGTCATACGGCCACGAGCCATACGGGGCTGGCGTCACACTCCAGTGAGCATGCGGCAGCCCAGCAAGGGCCGACCAGGTTCTTGGAAGAAAAGCGATTGTATGAAGAGAACCTGTACGAAAGACTGCACGAAGAGAGACAGCAGGAAGAGCGGCAGCGCGTAGAGGAGCTGCAGCGCGCAGAAGAACGGCAGCGCGCAGAAGAACGGCAGCGCGCAGAGGAGTTTTACTCTCCGGAACCGCGACGAGTAGAGGAGTGGTTCGAAACCGCGCGACGGGAGCAGCAGCGGCGTGCCGAGCTCATGACTGCGCCTGGACGGGTTTCGGTTTCGAGTCACCCGGGGTCTGGTCACTCGGTGTCTGGTCACCCAGGACCGACCCACTCGGGGTCTGGTCACCCAGGGCCGACGCACTCGGGGTCTGGTCACCCAGGACCTACCCACTCGGGGTCTGGTCACCCAGGGCCGACGCACTCGGGGTCTGGTCACCCAGGACCTACC